CTCAGAATCTGCTCTTTGAGAGGCTTCCACGGCCTTGCTCTTTTCATTTTCAATTACGGCTTTCAGCAAGCCAATCTGTTCAATAACGTCATGTTGACGGCGGCCGATTTCGACTATCTTGCCCACTATCTGTAACACAAGGAATTAGAGTTATAAAAATAAAAAACAAATATATATATATATATAAACGGAGGACTATAGATAAGGCAAGTAATGTACAAATAAGGCTGATTGAGCGGCTAATTCAATTGACAGTAAATCTGGCTCCGCCCGAAATGTAGCTCTGTCAACCAGTAGGGAAATTGAGAAGGCCATACTTAAGGCCACAGCCAGGTCCTTCAAAGCCGATGTATCAAAGGTAATCGACACATTCCTTATCTTTGGTTGAACAGTGAACGGAACAACCAAGTCTGATTCCTTGATGCGCGGCTGTTTATCGATTTGGTCCTCCCCAGAGATGGCTTCGCACTCAGGGAGGCGCTTTTCCTCCGTTTGCTCGGCCTTCTGGACCCCCTGTACTTGCTCCGTCTTAGCCGTTTCAGTCTGAACCGTTTCTTCCACAATAACAGGCAGAGAAGACTCAGTGATGACAACGGGTGAAGTTTTCGATCGGATGGTCTCGGTTCTCTTGCGGGCGGCCATTCTTTCAGCGTTTTTCCTCCTGGCCAACTGCGTAAGCGACTCCCCAGCCATGTCCTTAGGATACGCACCAGGAAAGTCTCCTAAGTTTGGAAAAATGTCTTCAAAGGAGACGTCCCCTCAGCTTGAAGTGAACAGAGGATTGGATGAATTGAGGCTGGCTTCCTCAAAGGCCAAGTTTAAAGCCTCGTCTACTTCAGCTTTCGATTGGTTCGGATCCTTGGTAACCTCTTCGGCTACTTGTTCTTCCACCGGCTCTGAATCGGAGGCTTCCAAGCCAATTTGCCTTAGGTTTTTGAAGTTGGGGAAGATAAGGGCCGTAAGCTGCTCTTCGCCCCTCGGAATCAGAATATTGTCAGCTACCGAAAACGTTGAGTAAGTCGGCTCATATCTCAGCAGAATATGGGCTGCCCTCCTTTGTTTCTAAAGGTTTGAACGGCCAAAGAACCAGAGTACGATTTTAATTTCCGCAAGTACGACGTCGGCCGAAACCAGAACTTTCTTTAAATCGTTGCCTACACAAGTAAAATGATAAGTACATAGAAGGAAAGCCAAGTAAATATTATAAAAAAAAAAAAAACACATACGGAACTATACGGTCACCTGGTTCGCCTTTTCGTCTAGGTACAGGATCTAGGCGATCTTCACCCTCGCCAAATTCCCAATTATCTCGGACAACGACCATGACATCATCAACTCGCTTGCCAAAGCTGGCAAGCATAGTCACCAAATGATGGTCGGTGTCCTTAGCTCTAAGAAAATAGCGCCCCTGCCGGCCAGATGATTTGGCCAAGGCATAATAATGCCAAATAGTAGGTATACCAAGATTGATCCTAAGGCATCGGTTCAACTCTATGATCCCCATTATGATTCGGAAAAAATTTAGATTAGGTTGGGAAGGGTACCCTAGGGACGGCCTTTAAAAATGGGTGAATAGGGAAACGGACTCTGCCCTTAGCAATTGATAGAAGAGGAAAGATGATTGTACTTTCATCAGTCCTCTCCATATCAATGGTGTTGTCTGCCACGAGTGACAGATTGACATCGTCGGGGATGGAAAAATGGCGTCGAAAACTAGAAATTTGATCCGCAGAAAGGAGGTCTTTCAAATGTTTTGCCATCTTAGCCAGTCTAAGGAGTATGCAAAACTAAAAACAAACAAGGAAATGGGATTCAAAATGAAGGAGAAGAGAACTTACAAGAAGCAGAGGAGACAATGAGAAACGAGAGGAAGTTGCAGAGGTCGCGAAATGGAGGTATACAGAAAGGCAGGCCAGAAGTTTTGAGTATTCAAAAAACATACATTCGAAAGGACAACATAGTTTCAAATCGCATTAAATGAATGAAGCGTACAAAGGGGCGGGAAGATGTAATGATGCCTAAAAAGCGTGTGTTCTGACATATGTGTAGGAATGAGGCTAACCATCGTTTCTACTTTGATTTTTCAAGTTCGAAACCAAACATGTTGTTCGAGACCAAACATGTCGATTAACTGGTGTTAATAGGATGTCTGGGGGGCAATTATGGGAGCCGGATAATGTTGATGTATGTACAAGAAAGCGGAATACAAGTTTGAGGATAATCAGGATTAAATATTGTATTCGGCACCGTCTTGGACGATCCCAAAGCCGATTATATTAATCGGCTGTAGAACCTGTTGAACAAAAGCCAAATAAATAAACGTGCAATGGATTAAGAGTGGGCTCGACCCTGAGGCCCAAAAAATATATAAATAGAGGAACATCAGCCAAGGAAAGGAACGTGAGAAAAACATTAGAAACTTAAGTTACAAGAAAACCTGAGACATATACTAACCTGTCCATCGGAGTGCTAATTCTAGCACCCACGACTGGAGTGTTAATCCCTTTTTCAGGTGCCAATCAGAGGATCAAGAACGTCTATCAGGATACAAGAGTATTTCCAAACCTACCTTCACCACAAAATTAACATCTCTTATTTAGTATTTGGCAAGAGAAGATGATTTGTTTAGCGGCATAAACTGAGTCTGTTAATGCACAAGGAAAAGAACACGAATCATCTTTTTAATGCTTGTGTAAATGTCAGTGTTTTACTTTTCCAGTGAATAAACTCATTTCTGTCTTTGGTGCTGATTTTGTGTCCCACTTGCATTATGCTTCTAGTGGCACATTAATATTCTTTGGAAGCCTTGTAGAACAATGGCACATATGAATTCTTTTTCTATTTATATTTTGTTCAGATTCTTTTGGCTTGCGTATTGGATTAATACAATGCAATTACAAGAAGCTATAGGTCTACCTCCATTTGTCGCAATAGCAATTCACCCAAGACCTGGTGTTTGTTGTGAAGTAATCTTGCTTCACTATAAGAATAAAATAAAACAATTTCCACCGGCCTAAGAATAGAGGCTGCAATCAAGTTTGTCAAAAGTAGAGGCTGCAATCAAGTTTGTCGTTTGAAATTCACAAACCTCGGTCGTTTTTGCATTTAATGGTTTCACATTACTAGGTTTATCTATATAGCTATTGTATTTTGAGAATTCAGAGTGTAGAAGAAAGAAGAGAGTTAGAGAGTAAAATTGTGTTTTTTCTCTCCTCAGTGTATTCTACATATTTGAGTGAAATAAATCTGTTTTTTCAGATTATCAATCCTCTCTTGTATTTGTTTTGTGAACCACCATAAGTGGTTTGCACCCCACTCTCACCAACAGTGGTATCAAAGACGAAGGTAGCTTGAATTTGCAGACATTCTGCAAATTTTCAAGAACAAAGCGTCATTTCAAATTTGCCCAGAAATCAAAGTTGTTGAAATTCATTTTTGATCACACCAGTGTATAGGTCTCATCGAGACGATCACACTGAAAAAAAAACACGTCAAAAAACGGAGCCTCACAACGCCCGCACGTGCTCCACGCTCCTGCTGACGCCGTCTCCACGCGCAGCAACGCGCGTACGCACTGTCACACTCCTTCTTCGCCCAGAGTTACAGGGTCCGACTCATCTACCATCTAATCTGATCCATTAGCCTGAATCCAAGAGCTGACGTCATTGCCAACGTCACTGTTGGCGTCACTCTGAACGAAGCCGCTGAGCCGAGCCACAAGCTGCGCTGGCAAGCCGCAGACCGAGCCGAGCCGCCAAGCTGATGACGTCATGCTAACGTCAGCCAATTCGGAAAAGTTATCTGGTGCTTCTCAGAAGTTCCAAATTCTGCCGATTTGAGCCGTTCAATTATTTTTGCTACATCTAAGCCGTTTGAAGTCCGTTTTTGGTAATCCAATAGTGCTTTCCAACTATTTGGAATATTCCGGACACATCTGTACGGTCAAAGTTTGCAAATTACATCTTGAAAATTTATAGTTTTTAAAATCAACCAATGGCCAGCACAAACAACTTCTTTCAGCCCCAGTTTTCAAAACTCAACAAGGAGAACTATGAAAATTGGAGTATTCAAATGCAAGTCCTACTAGCCTCACAAGATTTGTGGGAGTTAGTGGATCGAGGATATGACGAGCCAGCTACTCTCGAAGATGAAGGAATTTTAAATGAAGCTCAGAAGACGGCATTAAAAGATTCAAGGAAGAAATATAAAAAGGCCTTGTATCTACTTTATCAAGGCATTGATAAGTCAAGCTTTGATAAGATTTCAGCAGTAGCAACCTCTGAAGAGGCATGGAGTATTCTTCGCAATTCACATCGTGGAATTGAGAAGACGATCAGAGTTCGACTCTAGGTGTTACGTGGCGAATTTGAGATACTGCACATGAATGAGAATGAGTCAATTTCTGAGTACTTCAATAGAACATTGACCATTGTTAATCAAATGAGAAGATATGGTGAGAAGATAGAATCTCTTCAAGTGATAGAGAAGATTCTATGATCACTCAGTCCCAAGTTCGAGCACGTGGTTGTAGCAATAGAAGAATCCAAGGATCTCAATGCCATGACCATCGATGAGCTGATGGGCATACTTGAAATTCATGAACAAAGGATCAACAAGAAGACTCCCTCAAGTTCTCTAGAGCAAGCTCTTCAATCAAAGCTGTCTTTCAAATATGACGAAACGAGCAAGGGGAGACATCACAAAGAAGCCGAGGAAGAGGTCGTGGTTACAATAACCGAAGTTCTGATTTTCGAGAAAGAGGTGGAAGACATCCTGCCAGAGGAGGAAGAAGTCAACCACACTTTGCTCCAAGAGGAAGAGCAAGAGGAAAAGGAGGTGGTTACAACAACCGACCAGGATTTGACAAAAGCAATGTTCAGTGCTACCATTGCCACAAGTTCGGGCATTATAGCAATGAATGCCGGTGTAAAGCAACAATAGAAGTCGGAGAGCAAGTAAATTTTGCCGAGCAGGAAACAAACAAAGTCGGACTTACAGTCATGTTTGTCCACCATGGAGATACTGAAAACCAAAACAATGTTTGGTATCTAGATTCGGGAGCTAGTAATCACATGTATGGTAAAAGAGAGTTGTTTGTTGAGCTTGACGAGACTATACAAGCACAAGTCTCATTTGGTGATTCTTCAATGACTCCAGTGAAAGGAAGAGGCAATATTCTAATCAAGCTCAAGAATGGAGATCATGATTATATCTCCAATGTTTATTATGTTCTTGCTATGAAGAGCAACATTTTGAGTATGGGACAACACCTAGAGAAAGGATACAACATCAGCATGAAAGACTGTCATCTTACCATCAAAGACAATCATGGTAATTTGATCGCTCGGGTGAGAATGTCCAAGAATAGGATATTTGCATTAAACATCCAACATGATGCTGCGAAGTCTTTAAGTGCCATCATCAAAGACAAAGATTGGCTATGGCATTTGACATTTGGACATCTCAACTTTGGAAGCTTGAAGCTGTTGTCAAGCAAGAATATGGTGAAAGTGCTCCCTCATACTGCTCATACTAATGAAGTCTGTGAAAGTTGCATCTTGGCAAGCATCACAGAACTAGCTTTGCCAAAGAAGTGAAGTGGAGAGCAACAAAGCCACTGGAGCTAGTGCACACTGATGTGTGTGGTCCATTGAAGCCAATGTCAAATGGACAAAATAGATATTTTCTCACCTTCATTGATGATTATAGCCGGAAGACATGGGTATATTTTCTTAAAAGAAAGTCGAAGGTGTTCAGTATCTTCAAAGAATTCAAAGTTTTTGTAGAAAAGCAAAGTGGCTACTACATCAAGACATTGCGATCAGATCAAGGTGGAGAATATATATCAGTCGCTTTCGAGAATTATTGCAAAGAGCATGGAATCAAGTATTAAACAACACCATCCTATACACCACAGCTGAATGGTGTTGCTAAAAGGAAGAATTGCATAATCTTAGATATGGCAAGGAGCATGTTGAAAGGAAAAGGATTGCCCAAGCAATTTTGGGCTGAAGCCGTATCATGTCCTGTGTATCTACTAAATAGATGCCCAACCAAGAGCCTTTACTCTATGACTCCAGAAGAAGCTTGGAGTTCACATAAGCTAAGTGTCAACCATCTCAGAATATTTGAGTGTGTTGCGTACACCAAGATTCCTGAAGCAAGAAGGACCAAGCTTGATGATAAGGAAGAAAAATGTATCCTTGTCGGATATGGAGATAGAACAATGGGATACAAGTTGTATAATCTCATTACCAGAAAGGTGATCATGAGTAGAGATGTGATATTTAAAGAAGAAGAAGTTTGGAACTAGAATCAAGATAAAGTTGTTAAAGATGCAGAACTCATTCTTGAAGATGAAACATCAAAAGCTCCGGTTGAAATCACAAGAGAAGTTCAAGATGAGCCACAAGCTCCTCCACATAGAATACTAGCACCTAGATCGTCAGTTTCTAACAGAAGTGATGCATCATCATCATCATCATCATCATCATCATCATCAGATGATAGTTTTTTCAAACAACCAAGACCAATGAGAAATTTACAGGAGATATTTGAAGCTACAGAAGAAGCAGATCTGAATTTGTTCTGCCTACTCGTAGATAGTGATCCACTTACTTTCTCATAAGCCATCCAAGAAGATAAATGGAAAAAACAATGGATGAAGAAATTCATGCCATTGAGAAAAATGACACATGGATGCTTACAAGTCTACCGGAGGGGCACAAACCTATTGGAGTGAAATGGGTATACAAGACAAAGAGGAATGCACAAGGCGAAGTACAACGCTATAAGGTAATGTTAGTGGCAAAAGGTTACAAGCAGAGAGCTGGAACTGATTATGGAGAGGTGTTTGTTCCAGTTTCCTGAATGAAGACTATCAAGCTAATGATTTCTTTGCCTGCCCAGCACAAGTGGCACTTCATGTGAAATCTACATTTCTAAATGGTTTCCTTGAAGAAGAAATCTCTATTGAACAACCTTCGGGGTATGTTCAGAATGGGCATGAAGACAAAGTATACAAATTGAAGAAAGCACTTTATGGATTGAAGCAAGCTCCGTGTGCATGGAATACTAGAATTGATCAGTATTTTCATGACAATGGTTTTGAAAAATGTCCACATGAGCACACACTATATTTGAAGAAGGAAGCTGATGGAAGCATGTTGCTTGCTTGTGTTTATGTTGATGATCTAATTTTCACCGGAAACAATCCAGCCATGTTCAAAGACTTTAAAAGAAGCATGGTCCAAGAATTTGAAATGACAGATATTGGATTGATGGCTTATTTTCTCGGCATTGAAGTGGCACAAAGAAAAGATGGAATTTTTATTTCCCAAGTGGCTATGCCAAGGAAATTCTCAAGAGATATGGAATGGAAAATTGCAATCCAGTAAACACTCTTGTAGACAGTGGAGTGGAGCTCAAAAAAGGTACAAAGGTAGGTGATGTAGATCCAACTTATTTCAAGAGCCTAGTTGGAAGTCTTCGCTATCTTACTTGCACCAGGCCAAACATACTCTATGGAGTAGGATCGATTAGCATATTTATGGAAACACCAAATCAGTCACACCTTTATGCAGCAAAAAGCATTCTTTGCTAGATCAAAGGTACAGTTGTGGCTCGACTTTTTCATGCCCCCCATTTTTGGAGGGCTCGAATTGGTCCTACAGTTCGGACTCTTGTCACGGTTCTGAATCTAATCTCACAAAGTGCAATGTGAGACAGATAAACACTAAAGAGTCTAAATCCGGCAAATCATTTTGGAAAATTGATTTTGAATCAAAAAACGCCAAAAAATGGACTGCTTTGCCAGATTATAGAGTCGCCACCTAAATATTTTATTTTTGAAAAAATTTAGGAAACCTTGATTTATGTCAAAGGCCACGTGTCTGTCATCACCAAAGTTGCCTTGGCTCAGGAACTTGGGTACGAGGAGGGAAGGTCATGAATGGAGCACCCCCGCTCGCCCGATCAAAGGATTGGCCTCTAGTAATCATGATATGTTGTTTTATAAATCTTATGCGTTCTTATTCGGTTATTAGACGAGCTTTACTAAGTGACGCATACATGCAAGTATAGACTAGATCGCAAGAGTTGGAACGAATTCAACTCATGTTTGTTCTCGAAAATGGTTTGAACTTGCCACCCTCAAGTGGGCTAAAATGCGGATTTGCTATCAAACATGATAGGCTTAAAACATGATTTGCCACCTCAAGTGGGCTTAAAACTCTCATTTGTCAAATCGGTCAAATTCAAGCAACAAAGCCTTCATCCACAGGCATTTATGCAATTTAGCAAATAAGCACATAGCCTCATGACAAGCATGCGAATCATGGCAATATGGCAAGCACACTCATGCAAGTATGCTAAAGCATAAAACTTACCAAGTACTCCAAGCCAAAAAAAAAAAAAAAAAAACTAGTTAGAAAGAACGCATGATCCTAACTATGTAAGATACCTAATGCAACACATGCAATATGAAATTAATAGGCTCAGCTACTAATATGGCATATGATACAATTTGATAACATTCTTTGGAACACATATTCAAATAAGTATTGAAATTGCAATGCAGTTTGAATAATACGCCGAGCCTCGGTGCATGCAAAACAAATGAATAAGGTAATTAACTAACTTATTCTAAGCTAATTAATTACAACAAATTAAAATTGAAGAACTAGTTACACAAACTAATTCAGTACAACTCTTGAATTGAATAATTAGCAATGCTAACAAATTAAAGTAATTAAATGGCTTCAAGGGCGAGAGACGCATGCATGCTCGATTGGTTTCCTCCTGAAAATCCACCGCCTTGCGTTTGGATGCCTCTGTTTGCACTCGTTGATCTCTGAAAATTGCACCAACTTCCAGAACACCTCTGCTCCACCTCAGGAACATACTGAGCAAACTTTTCATTGATGGCCAGTTGGCCACCCCTTCCTTGGAATTCTCCTTTTTGCTGCAACAGAGAGCAAACAAAGGCAAAGCAGTGTATTCTCAAGCAATATATGTACTATTACCATCCTTATCGTTACACAAGGTCAAAGGAGTGTAATTCTTGGCTCCCAAGCCATCAACCAAGCATTTTCAATGCATGATGGCTAGAGAACCAAGCTTGTACAAGGTCAATGAATGCACAAACAAGACAAAAACAACCACCACCCTATCATGCATGATCAAGGGTGATGGTGACCAAGAAAAGTGTCACGTTTCATCACTTTGAGTATGAAACGTCTCATTTTTCTCGTGTTTGGATTAACGTCTGATCTGAACACATGCAATGCAACACAAAGATGCTTATCCTGCCCCTTTTACTTTGTTCATTTTGCTTACTCATTTTACATTACCGATTAGTCCTTTAATCGATTAAGTCCAAGGTGATTGTCCTCTAATGGAAAGAGGGCTTGAACCACAAGTGCCTTGAGCATGAAAGCGGCCTCATGCCGTTGGTTAGTAGAAACCATCAAAAGAGGATTAAAACCATTAGGCATAAGTGTCTCAATTTCACACTCAAGCCAACAAAGGGTTCAAAGCCACTTTCAAAATAAATGAAAGAGTGAAGAATAGAAGGAGATAGCAGAGATTTCAATGCTGAAATTGAGTGCAAAATGACATTAAATCATGCAAGCAACTCATGTAATACTTGCTAAAAGCCTAAAACATTAAGCTAGTGAAAGAGATTGCACCACAACCACACAATACAAGCCACAAAGGACCAAACCAACCCAAAACAGAGTTAAAACCAGTCAAAATAATGGCTAAAACATGCTGAGATAGAGATACAAAATGCTAGAAAAATATGCTCACATGTTAGCTTGCAAACAAGACTCAAGACACAACTCTCAAAAGCAATGAAAGAGTGAAATAAATGAGCATATGACAGAGCCATATACACTGAAATTACATGTAAAATGACACTACAACGTGCAAGTAACTCATCCAAATCATGTTTGAAGCCTTAAAATAATGAGCTAGTGAAGACCATTACACTATAGCCATGCAATACAAGCCTTAAAGGACTTAACCAGCCCAAAACAGAGCTAAAACATGCCAAAAACAGTAGCCAAGACATGCTGAAATTAAGATAACACAAGCTACAAAAACATGCTACCATGTGATGCTAACTAGGCATGCAAGTGAGACACAAGGATGGGAGGCTAACTCCTCCATTTTTGGACTTCAAAACATGCTTTTTACCACCGAAATAACTCTGAATTTCAATGGTTTAAAGGCCCAAAAAGTTTGATTCTATTATGCTAAAAGATGGTGCAAAAAGCGTCACAATTAGGCAACAAGAAGGGTAGATTAGCCCCCAACACAAAATGACTTCAAACCATCATATTAAGCTTCAAAAATAAGAGTTTTTTGTACTTGAAAACTAGGCCAAAAATAGTATAAAAAGATGGCCAAACAAGTAATTAAAATAAAGCTTACACGGCAAGTCTATATCTCTTGAAGCACAGCACAAAACTGGCCCTCTTCTGAGCTCAAACCTCCCACAAAAGCTCAAAACAAATCCCAAAAAACCTCAGCTCCAAGATAAGAATGTTTGGTTAAGGGTCTTTGTGCAAAAGTTTAGAGAAATCTAACTATA